TAGTGTCCTAGGTTCAAATCACCTAATCTATTACTTGTATACCTTTTTCTTTATTTCATGCGCAAATTACTACCGAAATTGGATAATCATTTTTCTTAAATTTTAGAAGTATCCCCGTACACCCTGAATACCCCTGGCTCCGCTTTTTATATTTTATCATTTTTCGTACACTTCAATTATTTTCTGCTTGTAGACGGACTATTGCTCTTTATTAGGGGTCGTTTGGATGGGTTAATTGTCAATGTGGTATTTGTAGAGTCAAATAACTCATTTATTGTTCATGTGGTATTCGTATTTCACAATTATTTTAGTGGTAATTGAAATAAAATATCTCTTTTGGTTGAACCATGCAAATGTGGTATTTGACATGTGGTATTTGGGAAAAGCAGAGTGGTAAAATGAGTTATTTCGAAATAACACATGGGTATGACTGTCCAAATAACTCATTTCAGTAAAACGCTGCCAAACAAGTTATTTGTCTCCAAATACTCATGAGTGTTTTTCTGATAATTTTAATTTTAAGTCGTTATTACGACAAGCTTCCCTCCAGGTTGTTTTCCTGATGGAGACCAAGCAACTTCGGGATGAAAATGAAAAAACTCGGTTGGAACTAGGTTTCAAAAATGGAAGTAGTTGGCCATGTGATGTGTCAAGAGGGGGTAGAGCAGGAGGCCTATCTATGTGGTGGTTAGAGGATGTGCAGGCGATGGTGATGGGGGACTCGCCTAATCACATTGATCTAAGAGTAGGGGAGGCGCAGAATGCGGTCTGGAGATTTACTGGAATCTATGGCTGGCCCGAGAGTCGGGATAAGAACCGTACGTTGCAGTTGATCCGTGACTTGGCTACTGTCTGGGATGGGCCATGGATCTGTGGGGGTGATCTTAACCAAATCCTTTCGGATGAGGAAAAGAAAGGCGGGAATTTGGGCAGGGAAGAGGAGATGGGGGCGTTCGTGGATTGCTTGACAGAGACAGGCCTCAAGGACTTGGGTTTCCAAGGCTACCCTTTCACGTGGGAAAACAGACGTCGAACGGGCATGTATATTGAGGAGAGATTAGACCGGTTTCTTGTGAATGAAGGTTGGTGGAACGTGCGGCCTAGGGCTCGGGTTCTACATCTGGATCAATCGCGATCGGATCATCGTCCTATTGGCTGCGATACCTTAGGTGATGAAGACGAGGAGATCAAATGGGGGTGGTCCTTCCGATTCGAACCGCTTTGGGTGAAGCATGAAGAGTGTGGGGAGAAGGTAAAGGAAGCATGGGTGGCGGAAACTGGGGACGCAATTTCAAAGCTCACAAAGGTTCAATCCACCTTGGACCATTGGAGCCGAGCCACCTTTCCCAATTTCAGAAGGAGAAAGGAGAAGATTAGAAGGGCTATGAGGGCCCTCGAGTATAGAGAAAAGACAGCTGAGGTCCTGGAACAGAGACTAATGCTACAGAAGGAGCTAGAGGAACTTGAAAGTGATGAGGAAATCTACTGGGCCCAACGATCTCGCACGGACTGGCTGAGGGGTGGCGATAAGAATACCAACTTCTTCCACCGCAAGGCCAGCTCGAGGCGACGAAGAAACACAGTGAGGAAATTAATGGATGAGTCGGGGGCATGGTGGCGAGGTACTGAGGATGTTTTACACTGTTTTATGCATTATTTCGTGAACCTCTTCTCTGCAGGAATTCGGCCGGAGCTGACGCCGGTACTACACTCAGTGGAGGTGAGAGTAAATGCTGAGATGAATGAAGGACTTCTTAAGCCGATTACCAGGGAGGAATTGTTCGATGCTCTTCGACAGATGGGGAAGAGAAAGGCACCGGGTGCCGATGGCATGTCCGTGCTGTTCTTTCTTAACTATTGGCACATAGTGGGGGACGAAGTGACGGAGATGCTGATGGGTGTGATTGAGAATGGAATGATGCCGCAGGAGCTAAACCACACTATCCTGGCCCTGATTCCCAAAGTCAAGGAGCCAAAGATGGAAAAAGAATTCCGTCCGATCAGCCTATGTAACGTTATGTACAAGATTCTGTCGAAAGCCTTGGCGAATAGACTGAAGGTCATTTTGGATAAGATTGTTTCTCCGGAACAGAGTGCTTTTGTCCCGGGCCGATTCATTGCAGATAATGTTATGACAGCTTTTGAGTGTTTTCACACTATGAAGAAGAAGACCAAAAATAAGACGGGTTATCTAGCGGCAAAAACGGACATGGCAAAGGCGTATGATAGGGTGGAATGGTGGTTTTTGGAAGGGGTTATGCGAAAAATGGGTTTTGCGGAAGGCTGGATCAGGCTGATAATGCTCTGCGTCCGCTCGGTTACGTATGCAGTCCTTGTCAACGGGCATGGATCACAAACTTTTGTTCCTAGTCGGGGTCTCCGGCAGGGGGATCCACTATCTCCATATCTCTTCCTTTTGGTTGCAGAGGGGCTGTCGAGCTATACATCTTTGGCGGTGAGACAGAAGCGAATCCATGGATTGTCGGTGGCTAGGGGGGCACCGGTTATATCCCACCTCTTCTTTGCTGACGATTCTATATTTTTTGCTAGAGCTACAGAAAAGGAAGGGCGTGAATTAAGGAAGGTACTGGCGGATTATGAACGGGAGTCGGGCCAGCTCGTCAGCCTGGAGAAATCGGAGGTGACGTTTGGAGGGAATGTGAAATCTCACCAGCGACTCATGGTTAGCTCAGTGTTGGGGATGAAGGTAGTGGAAAAACATGATAAGTACCTGGGTTTAGTCACCGAGGTGGGTAGATCGAAGAAGGAGCTGTTTACCTTCCTGAAAGATCGTGTTCGAAAGAAGTTGTCGGGTTGGAAGGAGAAAGCAATGTCAGCTGCAGCGAGAGAAGTGTTGATCAAGTCAGTGGCACAGGCGCAACTAACCTATACAATGTCTGTTTTTAAAATTCCTGATGGGATTCTTGAAGAAGTGCAAGGGATGATAACTCGATTCTGGTGGGGACAGCGCGGGGAGGAGAGGAAGACACCGTGGGTGGCGAGAGAGGGACTGATGTGTACGAAGGCGCAAGGGGGCATGGGGCTGCGTGACTTGAAAGGGTTTAACCAGGCTATGCTGGCTCGGCAGGTTTGGAATCTCTGGCAACGCCCGACCTCCTGGTGGCACGCATTATGAAAGCTAAGTACCACAAGCATACCTCGATTTTGGATGCTCGCATTGGGTACCGGGCAAGCTATGTATGGCGTAGTCTTATGAGTGCGCAGGACTTCCTTGTTGATGGTTTAAGATGGAGAATTGGGAATGGAGCATCGGTTAGAATCTGGGGAGACCGCTGGGTCCCGTCTACGAAAGATTTAATTGTTCAGTCCCCGCCGATGGGTTTACCGGTTGACGCAGTAGTTCGGGATTTGTTGGATGAGGATGAAGAGATGTGGGATGAGAATGTCCTAGAAAGTTGTTTCCCGGTGGACATGGTTCAGGCGATCTGCCAAATACCCTTGCGAAACCCGACCGAACAGGATAAGCTCATTTGGGCGGGGAGTAGAGATGGCCGTTACACCGTTCGCGAGGGGTATAGGACCTGGCTGAAGAAATTCCAGGAACAAGATGGGGATAGAAGTGTGGGGGATCCAGGGCTGTGGAAACTGCTATGGTCTCTTAATGTGCCACCGAAGATAAAGGTTTTTATGTGGAAGTTCACTCGAGAAGCACTGGCAACGGGCGAGAAGGTTAGTAGAAGGAACCCAAATCGCAGCGATAGGTGTCCGTTTTGTGGCCAGAAGGAAACCCAATTCCATGCTTTCCATGAATGTTCCTGGGTTAGCAGACTATGGCGCACCTCCTCGGTCGCGCACTGCTTTGAAATGTGCTCTGGCCCTAGCTGTATGGATTGGATCAAGAAGGTTGTGGATAGGGTCTCGGTGAGTGATTTGGAGGATTGGATTGTGCTGCTATGGTCGCTCTGGAGAGAACGAAACGCACACATGTTTAATGGGAAGAGGATGGAGGAAGCAGAGATAGTTCCCCGAGCGATCACCTACCTGGAGGAGTATCGACAGAACCAACTGAAGGACGTCCAGCCGCAAGAACCCGCTATGGTGGTAACATGGAAGCGGCCGCCGCTAGGACATATGAAAGTGAATGTGGATGCGGGTTTGGATGCGGAAGGAGTGGGTTTGGGAGTTGTGGTACGAGACCATGCAGGAAACTTTGTCTGGGCAGCAGCTAAGAGGATGAGGGACATTAAAGATCCAACAATGGGGGAAGCACTGGCAGCGGAGTTTGGACTACAGCTGATTCGGCAGCACCATATCGCAGCACCGATCGTGGAATCCGACTGCCTAACGGTGGTGAACAGCTTAAATGGGACGATGGAAGTGGAGACGGAAGTTGGGATCGTTTACAGAAACATAAGGAACCTGATGGGAGGGATAGCAAATGGAAGCCTGCGGCATGTGAGAAGGACGGCTAATGAAGCGGCACATATAATGGCCCATACGATGACTCGATGGAATAGAGCGGAAGTTTGGTTTGATAGACCCCGCTGAATCTGCTCGATCAAAAAAAATAATTTTAATTTTAAGTAGCATGTCAACTCGATCGATTTGATCGATTGGGTGTCCAATGTCAACTAGTCAAATCATTCACGTACTCCGGGTGTGGTTTATCAAATATATGCATCACCGTCGTTCTGCCAATTGCAGGCGATTCCGCAGGTTAAGAAAAAAAAAGAAGCTAGCTTTCACCACCATTACCCACCACCAGTTCAATAGCAAATCAGGTTTAGAAAGAAGCGTCATTCCCCGCACGACTAATTCAAAAGCTAACCTAGCTGTTTTTGCGTCTTTTCTCTTTTTTTTTTCATTTCTCTCCCGGCATGAAGGGTAGCTATTTGTCTCCTTTAATTCAAGCTTGCTAGGTATGCGGCTGCAAATGAAAATATAAATCTATTTTTTCCACACTTAAAATACATATAAGCCATTCTAATCAATTCGGTGAATGTACGCATAAGGGAGAAAGAAACAAAAAAAAAAAGAAGTTTGAACTCAAATTATCCTCTAGAAGGATAGCTGGAGTCTGATCTAACCCGGTAATTAATTCTCCATATGTACGATCAGATAGATAGATACACGGTTTGATAAGCAATCATGGCTCCATCTCCTCATTTGCGGACTTCTTGTTGTCTCCTTCCTTTCTTCTTCGTCCTCTTCTTCTTCTTCTTCCTATCATTCTCGCCGCAAGTGTGCACCGGCGAAGGCGAAACTCCTCCCGAGATAACCTACCACAACGGGCCCATCCTCACCGGCAACGTGAAGCTGGCGCTCGTTTGGTACGGCCGGTTCGGGCGCGTCCAGAAGAACACGGTCAGGGCGTTCGTGAAGTCGTTGAACTACGAAGGGCACGCCGCCGGGCAGCCGCTGGTGTCGTCGTGGTGGAAGATAGTGGAAGGGTATCAAACCGCGGCCAAGAAACCGGACGGACCGATCACGGTTAAGGTCGCGAGGCAGGTGACGGATACCAGCTACTCCATCGGGAAAGTTATCACGACCGATTTTCTGAAGCCGCTGATACAGAAGGCGACCGAGGGGAACCCGGGGATACTGCCGGTAATTTTCACGGCGAGGGATGTTTCCGTGCATGGGCTCTGCATGGGGAAATGCGCCGACCACGGAATTATTGGTACGTTTTACGTACGTGGTTATAATCCTTCCACATGCATGCATGATAATTTGATTCAGAAATTGGGGTTTGTTTGCATAGATGTGGTATAAGATTTATTATTGAATCTCTTCAAACAACTCAAGTTATGTGAATGGACTGGTTATTGACATGACATCAGATCTTTCAGCGATCGAGAGATCTTACATGTGTTTGAATCCTGACTACCCCATTTGTTAAGCACTTAGTGTCTAATGCATGTGCAAATTTCAAGCTCATATGAGTAGGGCTTCGTTTGAGGGGGCGTGTTAGTATGTGATAAGATTCACTATGAACATCTATCAATAACTCGATTTTTTTTGCGGTCAACTAGTCCTTGAAATGATAGATATCGCGGTTGTCATATCGGTGACATGCACACCGATACAACCGGTTTCGACCGATATCGATTACAAAACCAGCTGGGATGTCTCCAACATGACCGGCATAATTTATTTTTGATCTTTGAACAAAATGGTGTTGTTTTAGTGAATTTAATTAAAAAAAAATCATTTGTGATTTGTTTCTTGAATTTGAAGGTTAAATGTTGATTTTATTTGTTAGATTTAACTATGAACGTTTAGACGTTTATGCTATCTGTTGGGTTCAAATATCTAACTTTAGATGTTTGCATTAAATTTTGTATTCAAATATGTGCATTTTTCATTTTTTTTTTTTTTGGAACAGAGTATATATTTCTTAAATTAAATGTAGAGTTTATAGAAATTTCTTCAAATCAAATGTATTATAAATAATGCCTAGAGTCATCTAGTATTAATGATTTCCTACTTCTTAATATATTTTGCTAAAACCGACATGGACTGACATAAATCAGCTATACCACGAGCCAAATCATATCACCTATCAAACCGGCGTAACATCGGATTGAAAACCTTGATTGGCACTAACATATTTGCGCCCATGCAGACAATCAAGCGTACGTGATCGTGGGCAACCCGGAGACAGAATGCCCAGAAGAGTGTGCCTGGCCGTTCCGAGGCGGACCGGACCTCATCCCGCCCAGCGGCGATATCGGCGCCGACGCCATGGTCATCGGCTTCGCTCAAGGACTGGTAGCCGTTGTGACCAACCCGCAGGACACAGGCTTCTTCGAAGACAGCCTTAGGAAGCCACTAGAAGCTTCGTCAGCTTGCACGGGCATTTTCGGGAGCGGAGCGGTTCCGGGTAGTAACCCGGGTAAATTGCTCAAGGATCCGGCCACCGGGAAGAGCTTTAATTGTTATGGCTCCAAGGGGAAGAGGTTTTTGGTCCCCGCGGTGTGGAACCCGGCCACGAAAACCTGTTGGACTTTGATGTAAGAAATTAAAAAAACACTCATATATCCATCTTAACGGGCCGGCCACCGGCGTCGGGTAAAAAAGGATTGAGGAATCAACAATAGCTTCCCGCCTTCGTCGACCCATATATATCCATTCTCTTGTTTATTCTGAAACTATTCTTTATTCTTGATCTCTTGTTTTTTTTTCTTTGCACCATCTTAATTATTTCCATCCTATAGCTGCATATATAGCCTAACCCAATTTTTAATCTCTTTTATAGACATTGATCGGCCTATAATGGTCGATCTTTATTGTATTTTCTTGATAGACATCTATATGTTGATTCATTCAAATTTGCACCTGATCAATTCCTTATATGTACAAATTAAATAATGGTTTATTGGCTAGAGGAGAGAGGTTTGCGCATGCAAGGAATTTGTAAATTTACGCATTTGTGTATAAAGGCAGAACAACTACCACCTCTTCAAACAAGCGTGTTCGATGTTTCTGATAATCTGCGAGACAAAGCAAAATTAAATTGACTATACTCTTATGGAGGTTCCGTGAGAGGTTCGGAACTACAAGTATGACTATGACTACATTTGCAGAGGAAAAAATAAAATGATAAAAGGTGACATTGGGTTATCTGTTTTATTTTGGCGAACCTTTTCTCTGTCATCTTCACCTCTTATTGATAGTCACCGAAAGTAACTACTTCGAGAAACTGCTCAGTTGACGTGGAGTGATGGTTACCTTCTCAACTGCTTAGTTGATGCTCTGACGTTGGATGTGCCACCCTCTGCAGTCTTGACCCCATTTTCTTGATAGCCTCTCCTTAGCTTGGGTTTTAAAATGAGGAAAACAGTTAACGTATGAAGAACCCTTGCCCCATGAGTATTCGAATCACATTGGTCAAAATGAAAAACACAATTTCATCATTTATGATCAATAGAGCACACTACAAAAAAGACAGTCAGGTATGACGAGTCGATTGGCATCGAAAATGGTCATTTTTCGTTGGAAAATACCTTTTTGACGACATATGGTCGTTGGTCATCATGGGAAAAAGTCTCATTGCAAAAAGTCTAAAAAGTAAGGGCGTCAGGAAAAAAAAACATTTTTGTGACGAAAATTTGTTGGTCGCTATCTAGAATATCGTTGTCAGAAATAAATTATACTTGATGCTCACAAAATGACAAAGTTAAGTTTTGAGGGAGAATTTTTCTTATTGACGAAGAAATGTCGTCAGAAATAAATGATTTTCTTCCCAAAATACCTTTTTACCTTTTTTTACGACAGTGACTCGTAGAAAAAATCGTGCAACAGGATTTAATTTTCATTTCCGAAAATACCCTTTATTATTTGCGACGAGGATGTGATGTGAGTAAAAACCATTCGTCGATAATAAAATTATTTATGACGAAAATCAATTCGTTAAGAATAGGAATTTTTCAATTCCTAAAATACCTCTAGGTCTTTTCTGATAAGGGTGGAGCCGTTCGTCATAAATAAATCAATATTTGCTACAAAATACATTTATTGGTAGCTTAATTATCTCATTTTAGTAGATTAATACTAAATTTACTGGTTAATTTCTATAAGAACGAAGATAGTAATACTAAATTTCATTTCATAATATACTTTTCAAATTTTATTATGTAATAATTTTAATGTTATTCGATTCGGAAGGTAAATACAGATAATTCATAAATCATGGTATTTTCAACCGAATCGATATTCCGAATTCTCGTCCGACAAACTAAAATTTGTTGCATAAGCCTAAGACTCATCCCAGACCTAGCCCCCCCTCCCCCGACCCAAAGGAAACCCTGACTCACTAAGCCCAAATGAAACCCTAACTCCCATAACTCACAACCTCTCCCCTCTCTCGACAACCACCACATCACTTTTCTCATCTCTCGTCGCCGCCGTTGCCGCCACTGCCGGCACTTGCTGGAGAAGAGGATCTGAAGCACCCGCAGACCTTCCTCGTCTCTCTGCTGCTGCGTAGACCTACATCGCCTAGCCCCCTTCACCCCTTGAATCCCCATCGCACAGCCGACTTCCCTTCTATCCCCAACGACGGCCTTGCCATCACCTCCTCCTTGGCCTACCGGCCCTAAGTAGTAGAGGGACCATCACCGACACAAGCATCCTCTGTCCCGCCTCTCTAACCTTTGTTTCTCCTCCTGAAAAAAATAGAGACGAAGCTACTAAAGCACGATGAAGAAAATCAAAACGAAACACACAGTGCTTGGATCTAAACCCATACTAACCTATAATATTCGTCTCTAGAGTCATTCTCGTCGTCGGCGTCAATCTTCATTATAGCCTACCAGTACCACTGCGTTTTGCTCTGTCGCTACATCAAGTCGTCGGCTTTTCGCAAGGGAGGAACCCAAATCTGGCTTTTGAACCCAAATCGGATCTCCGCCATTGCCCACCAATGATCATCGCCAGAATAAACATGCAAAGGAAAGAATGGTGTCATGCGGTTCTCGGAGGCTGGAAGTCGGACCCGCCCCAAAACAGGCCAAACAGGTCGGCAAAATAGGTCAGGTCGAAATTTCCATCCTTAGATTTTTATATTTTTGGATATCAAGATAAAAAAAAATTAGTTTTTAGACAATTATAACCGACACAAATATAATTAAAAAAAATATGTCGGCTAAAACATACTCCAATTCGAACCGCCACAAATAGTAGAAAAAGTGTTGGTTTTAGCTGACTCGAACAGCAACCGACACAAATCATCGATAAACATAATTGTATGAAATCATACACCGTGGGTTGTGGGAGTTGTCTCTAAACCCCCTAATCAGGGCGCTTCCCCCTTGGACCCCAACTCGCTGACCGGACAACGAGACCATCGTGACTCCCAGTCGTCGCCCAAATAACAAACTTCACGTCATAGCAACAACCATGGAAGTTGTACATATACCTTATGGTGAAATTTTAATTGAACTTGTACCTATACCTTATGGTACAAGCTCAACTAAATTTGTATATATACCTTTTTGTACAAAATGAGTTGAACTTGTACGTATACCTTATGGTAAAAGTTCAATTGAACTTGTACCCATAACTTAATGGTCTAATTGAACTTGTACCTATACACTAACTAGCATTGGGCCCGGCCCGTTGGACGGTGGAGTATAAAGATGCTTTTGACAGTCTTTCCAGGGAAAATTGGAATTCAAATTGTAATTATTTGTAACAAATTGAGAGCAAACCATAAAATAAGACTCAACCAAATATGATCCTGAACCAATTTGACTCAGCAAGAACAAACATGTCATCATATTTTAGGAAACAATTTGAAATTCACCTTCATATTTGCCTTCAGCTCCTTAAATCTTGATTAAATCTAAGTTATGGGTTTTATTGATTAGTTGAGGCACTAATGAAGTTCCATCTGCCATTGCAATTCCGGGAGAAACACTGGTGTTGCAGAGTACTCGTTAACCCATTAGTTGAAGGAGATTTGAGAAAGGCAAATAAGATTAATAAGATGTTGTTTGGGGTTGAATAATTTATAACTAATACCATATATGCGGCAGAAAGTAGACAAAGGGATATGGTGCTTAAACCAACTTAAATAATTCTCTAATAGTGGTAAGATCAAACCTTATTGTGCCTAGCAACAGTTGAGCCCTTTAAGATAACAAAGGGTACACATGTGTCTATAAATAGTTAAAAACAGAACCAAAGCATAACTAATTTACCTCTAAAGATATTGCAGCGACTAGACTTAACAAATGGCCAAATATAACTGTAGAAAGTATATTGCAGCAGCCTAGAACCCCTGCAAATAGCTCAGGGGCCTAATGGAAATAAACAAACACCCACAGTTACTGGTAGTAAATATAAAAAAAACCAATTGAAAGTGAAAGTCGGTAATTGTAGAGGAAGTTGGGGATCAACGCCATCATAATCCTCACAGTTATAATGAATTCCTTACTGAAACTAATGTCCTGCAATTTCCCTTGTGTGGCAGCTGGCAACGGGGATCAACAACTTTTTATTTGACATATGAAACATTTAGTTCCTAACATGTATGTTAACATTGACATTATCCACGCTTTGAACACCTATTCATATCTTAGCATTCAAAATTGGGTTGACATGAAAAAATCAACTCGTAGAATGGTAGTAAACGAAAACCAAACATCCAATACATATAAGCTTTGAAAGCCACATTTAAGTAAACAAACGAGTGACCAAGCCCAACAAAAGCTCACTTGAAAAACAGGTCAACTGTTTGAGCATAATGTGTAAGAAAAACACCAAACCTAACAAAACTTACTTAGAAAACATGTTAAATGTTTGAGGAATATAACACCATTCTATCTTATAAACCATTCTGCTCAAAATCATCAATCTATTCATGATCTCTAAGTTTTCAGAACCAAACACCGGCTACATCCTTCTACGCAGAAACCAACACCATCATGTTGCCTGTCAAAATTGTAAACACGCAGATGTCAGTTGCAAACTCAACTTATGGAATAACCCTAGCTGCAACACTCAATATGTCAACAATGTATAGTAGTATGTTGATAGCAGATGGCATTTCAAAAAAGAAGCTAATTTGACCATAACAGCTAGTATCAGGCAATCGAAAGTTGAATATATCTTTGAAAAGAAAAATTCAAAAGGTAAGAAAGAACTACATATCTTACAAACCATTTTACTGAAACCAAGAATCTACTCATGATCTCTAGGATTATAATCTCAAAAGCATGCACCCTTACAAGGATCAACATCATGGTTATCTCCATCCTAATGAAAACTGGGTAGTTACTTATTATGACCCACAAAGTCATTTCTAATCTATTTATTTGTTGTTGATGCTTGCTGTGTCTTGTTTCTCTTGTTTTTGGTTGGTGCAGTGTTTTGTGTTGCTTCTCTCTATTACCAATAAAATCATGTTGCTTTTATAAGAAAAGAAGTCAATCTGCAGCAAACTGAAAGTTTTAATTGCATTATTAATTATGAAAAACGTATAATATATACACCTTAGTCTGCACAACTTTGTTGACTTCTTACCTATACTGCTTTCTTCGAAGTGTCTGTTGGGTGGGGGGGTTCCATTCTATCCTCATTGGGTAGGCGGTTCCTGTAGCTAGATTCTATGATTTTGTAGCAGTATAGCTCGCACTTTCACCCGTGTCTCCATGCCTTCCAACAGCGGCGGATCCAGGATTGGGTAGAGCACTGGGCCACATTGGAAAAAAGCAGAGAAGGCTGGGCCGTAATACGACGAATACTGAAACAAACACCGAAACGAACACCAAAAATCGAAAATTTACACGTGCTATACTAGCTACGGATCGAGGGAGGGCTGGGCCGTGGCCCGGGGGCGATCCCCCTAGATCCGCCGCTGCCTTCCAATCTTTTCTTTTCTTTTTTCCCTTTGCTGTTGGTTTTCACACCTTGTGACCTCCAAGGCTCTTGGTGGATTTCCTTTGTGTCATTTTATGCTTCCATTAAGTTTTCAAGTTCACTTT